TAGGCGATTGCAATAGTGCAATTTTCTAGGGAAGTATAGTGCTACGTGTAAATAATAGTGCTGCGTGTAAGTATAGTGCCGCGTCAGTATATTGCTAATATTGAAGGGGATTAGTGGAGTACTTAATATTATTTTGTTTCAATTTAAATAAATTCCGAACGGGCGAAATTCAAAATAATTTCAATTTTTTTAAAAATTAAGGTAAATGCAAATTTTAAACAACTAGAGTAAAATTGAATTCTCTGGTATTCGTCCAGTTTTCTTTTTTTCTTACCAAAATTTTTTAAATGCATCTCAATACAATTTTTTTCTCATTTTCAGGTTTTTTCTCTCTTCAATAAAATTCATATAATTTTAATAACATAATCGAGTAAATTTTCAAGATATATTCATTTACCTCTACCTATTGCAATTTTTTGTCAAGAATATTTTATGGAAACCAAAACAATCAACATTAAGCATAATCAACATTATAAGCATAGTCCAGTATATTTCCGATTAAATCATCGTCAACCTAACTTAAAAATCTAATTTTAATACTGTTTGAAAAAGACACTTTTAGTTTGACTATCAAGTCACACAAAAAAAAAACCATTTATAAAAAAATAATAATTTAAATAAGGTAAAGAAAAACCACAAATATTTAAATGAGAGAGAAAGAATCATTTTAATACAACCTTTATGCAAACAAAAAAAAAAAAGTAAAAAAAAAAAGATTCATTCATAAGATAAAAAAATAATAGAAAAGATGACTGCCAAATGTACGTGTATTATTAAAACTTGTATGAATACAACAAAAAGAAAAAAAAAAAAAATGGGGGAGCTCTTCTTAACAACTTGTATATCCTCATTTAACCTTAGATCCTTGAATTTTATTATCCTGACTGATGAAGTTATTCCTGTTTTTGTTTTGTTTTTTTCTATTTTTAACCCTTTATTTTCTTTTTTATATTTTATGTACATATATGTATTATATATTATGTATAAGATATAAATGTTAAGTTTAATAAACGGAAAGGAAGAATAAAATAGAAAGTGTATATATACATAATATATAATATTAAATTGTATATATATATATATATATATTTGAGTGCCCTTTAGCTTTAACCACTTGACTAATTCTAAAGGATTTTTGATTATGAATAATTTCATTGTTCAGTTTTTTTTTTCTTTTTTTTTTCTGTACTCTAAGTTTGGGGTTTGGTTCTCATATATCGTTCGCCTAAACCCATCACCATTTAGCAGCCAATGTATTTTTCCTCTTGTCTTTCCTATTTTTTTTTTTTATTTATTTATTTATTTATTTTTTTTTTGCTTCTTCTTTTTGTTTCAATTTTAGTGGTATGGTTTTTTTTGCACCTTTATTGCATTATTCAAGCGAAAAATTGTATTTCAATTCGCAGCTATTATTATTTCATATGTATGTATGTGTATGTAATATAAATTTTGTGTGTATATATTTATTGTAGTTGATCTAATATATATATAGGTATAAGTACATTCATAGCACGTTAAAAATAACAGTGAATGTGAGTAAAAAATGTAATCCTTTTTTGTTTTTGTTTTTGTTTTTATGTTGCTTTGTAATTGAATTCATTTATTTTTATTATCCGTTTTATCTTTTTTGCCTCTTTTTTTTTTATGAAAGTCAGACACATTTAATATAAAGGTAAGACACTATGTTGAAATTGATATCACTTACATAGTAACGGTATATTGTTACAACAGTCTATAGTTTGTTTTTTTTTGTTTTCTTTTTTATTTTTCTTCCGTTTAATACCTGTTCATTTTTATAGTTTTCACTAATTTATGCCTTTAGCTTTTAATAATTTATTTATTTTAACCATAATTAATTTATCCTTTGAATTTGAAATTTTAAAAGAATTTACAAAGTACTATTTTTTTGTGTGTGATTTTGCTATTGGCAATTTTTTAGTAAAATGTTTTTAATTTAAATTGCTGGGTTTTAGGAGAGGAGCTGAGGGCGGAGGTGTGCATTTAGCATTTTTTAAATTACGCGAAATTATTGTATGTACAATAGGGTTTAGAGCAAAGGTGAAAAAGTAAATAGTATAGTTTTTAAATTACATTTAAAATAATAAGGAAATAAGAGAAATATTATTTTTGTTAATAGTTTATATTCCCATAATATTATTTGAGAATGAAATTCGAGAGAAAATAAAATGCCGAAAGTAATAGTAGAAAACCGAAGATTTTCATTTTATAATGGTGGGCATTTTGAAAATTTTGGAAATTCAGAAACAAAAATAATTTGATAACACAATTTTAATAGGCTTAATTAATTTAATTGAAAATTTATTTTAAATAATATAAATGATATTGCAAAACCTAATAGACTCCATTGTTGGCCAATTTTTAATTAAATTTGTAACAGAGAAGCTTTTGCGAAATATTAAAACTTTCTTGTGTTCAAATCTAGTCATGCCTTATTGAAAAATAAAAAAAATAATTCAAAATTTCTATTTCAAATTTTTTTCATATTGGTGTACACTAAATAATTTCGATTTTAGATTGATTGGGATTTGACAAATTCCCGCAATATAATTATTTTCTTAAAATCTAGCTAGAGAAATAACTATATTTGGCCCGTATTATTTTGTGAAAATTAATGGAGAATATTTCAATATTATTAAAATGAAAAAAATACTTTTTGTTCCTAAATCCTGAAATGCTTGACTAATTTTGAATTGTGATTATTAAAATATTCTGTGCAACTAAATTAAATATGTTTTCGTGTAAACATATTATATAATTAAATTATGCCTCTGCAAAAGATTTTACTGCAATGGTACATAAGATATTTTATTAAAGTCAAAGATTTTATGAGAATGTAGTTGAATTGATAGTTTAAGAACACAAAAAATATGTTCTAGTTTTTCTAATAAACCTGTAAATATTGCTTTGTACATACACGTTTTATTTTAGAAAAATAAAATAGGTAAGAATTCTTTTGAAAAAAAAATATATATATGAAACTAATGATGTGGTCAGCATATTATTGAACGCAAAATGTATTGGCTAGTTTAAAGTAAGTGTTGCACAAGATTGTGAAAATGTGCTTTAAACACTTCTTTCTAAATTGATAATAAATATTATTTATTTTATGACATTCCAATTTCCTGAACACCATAGTTACACATAAATAACTCAAATAATAAAATTTTAAGATACTCTTTCAATTACTTCCGAAAATAAATTCAGATACACAAGTGAATTAACAGGTGTACAAATTGACAAACCGGTAGCTTGTCTGATCGACATATCGTTGAAAATAGTTTAATTTTATTTCTGTATTACATATTAGTGCAATTCCAATAGATTTTCAACAAATTCCCTAAGCGAACTTTGGCGCTATAATACAACCTCCATTATTGTAAGTGAAGGTATATACGATCATCATTAGAATTATTACAATATAGAAATATATTTTATATATGAATATTTGTTGGATTTCTACGAGAATAAAAAAAAAAATTAACAACTTCCTTTGAAAAAAAGTTATAGTCCCAAGTACTCTTTCTATTATTAATCTTAGCACAATTATTATATTAGGTTACAGCAACAATAAAACTATATGTAAATTGTATAATGACCCATCAAAAGCTTTATAAACCGCAAAAGATTGTGATAAACCGAAAATAGAATTTTCAAGTTTCTTATTTTTCTTTTTGATTTTTTTCTTTAGTACAGAATAATATTTTTTTTTATGTATACAAAAGCACACATATTCCATAGAAAATATTCTATACTAACTAGGTATAAACTATAAATATGAAATTATTTTTGTTTTATAAAAAAAGAAATATTAACATACAACTGAACGCATAAACTATTATAAACATTTGAAAAATTTTCTTACTATAGAAGGATATAATCAAGTTTAAAAATAGAAAAATAATAAAAATAAAATGAAAAAGAAAACAAAAGTCATATACCTACATAATCGTAACTTGTAATTATTTGATATATTCAGATTACACATACATATATATATATAGATATATACAGGTCTAAGTATTTAGTTAGATAATAAAAATATACAAGACCAATTTAAAATAAGTTCAATAGCACTTTAAACAATCTTGGAAATTTTTTATTTTAGGGGGAGAACCACAATAATATTTATGCCTATATAATATTATTATGTATATATTATTATACAAGTATATATATATATATATATTATAGTATATAATTTATAGGGAGGAAATTTTTCTATGTTAAAAACAATACAAAGACTATTGTAATAAATAAAGAAAATGAAAATGTGTTTATCCTAAAGGTATGAAAATATTTTCTATTCAATATATTTAAATATTTGATGTTTTTAGACCACAAAATATATACATATATTATATACACGTGTATTGTATAATGTAAATAGCTAGCTAAATATATTATAAAAGTTGACAAGATAATAAAGAAAAAATCAATTTCTTTTGCATAGTTTTAGGGGTAAGAAAAATTTTTTTTTTTTGTGTGAACAAATTCTATATGGTAATTTTATATTAATAAATTTTAACTGTATTATAAGTAATATCTAATATTTAATTAAAAATAACGGGAAATAACCAGTAAATGGTGATTTCAGCTTAAATTTTTAAAATAGTTTAACTGACATTATTTTATTATAAGATTACAGTGTAAGTATAATAAACTTTTGAAATATTGTAATAAAAAAATTCTCATTGTAAAATTTTAATCCTTAAATGTGTAAAAAAATTATTGAATTCTCAACTCGTTTTTAATAAAAATTTAAAGTAGATAAAGGAATTGAAATGAATATTAAAAAATTACAAGTATTAACAAAAATGTGTAATAATTTACATAACAATTTTAAAATTGAAAAATCGCATTTTGTTTTCAACAAAATATCACAAAAAATTAAGGAAAATTTTCGGTCTGAAACCGAAAATTTTGTAATTTTTAATTTGCATGATTTTTTAAATTGTACACAATATTAAATTTAATATATTTTAATTAATTGTATTATGCCTCTGCATATGATTAATTAAAAAACAAGACCAAGCTTTCATAATTGTTATTGAACGTTTTCTTGTCGAATAATCATTCGATACCTTTAAAATATTTTCAGAAAACGAGATTTATTTGTAATTTCATTGATTTAAATTACAAAATAATGAAGAAATTCTTAAATTTGTCATTCATTTCTTCAAAATTAATAAAATTTAAATATATTATTTATTTATACAACATGACTTTTTTTTTTAGATATATACACACATATGTAAATTTGTATATAAAATTAAATAAATAAATTATATAAATATGTGCATGTTCGTTTGTACACGTGCCGTAAAATTTCTTTTGATTTTGGAATATTATTGTTTTTATTATCAATTAGAGCAGATAGCTAGCAACCTACACTTTTATTCAAATCTTCATATTATACTGATTTGTCTTATAGGACAAATATATTATTATTTACATGTGTATTTATATGCATAGGTATTTATTATAATAAATTATTTATTTTCTTTTTCATATGAATTTTTAGCTTTTGAAATTTTAATGCATGAATACTCAAATACAATTCAGTTGACATTAAATATAAATTATTTTATACAAAATATTATAATAATATTAATTAATTTTTAAAATTATTTTAATATTTTCAATTTCTTTAAAAATTGTTATATTATAATTCAAATATTGATCATTGATATGTAAAACTTTGTATTTATTAAAAATAAATCTATTTTTTATTTGCTTTTCTTGAAGAAAACTTGCATGTGAATTTGAGTTTTAGAGTAGTTTAATCAACAAATTAAGAAAATTTTGGTTTCATTGCTTTAATTAGTCATCTATGAATTTCTCAATATTATCAGTTAAAAGCCCGAATTCTCAAATTCTGACATGCATTGCAAACATGTTTTTTCAAAAGGTTAACAAAATGTCAAATAGTTCAGTAGCTCTTGAAGTATTTTTATAGTTATAAGATTAACATAAGTCGCCTATAACAAAAAAATTCACCCTATTATTCGAGATTAATCCAGTTGAATGTATGACATTTTGTGATAACTAATAGAAACGTAAAAAAAATTGTTTTCTAAAATTATGTTGAAATGCTTAACCACATTTTTTATAAGTTTTTTTTCTGTTTTCTAGCTTTTTTTCTTTAAGTTTAATCTCGGTAATGTGATTTGAAAACACAAAACTAAATATATTTTTCTTATGCATCAGAAAATTTCTTCTTTATGACTAAAAGGTATCTTACTATACTTCATATTATTGTTTTTATATAATAAAGCAAAAAAAAAATTTATTTATAATAAAAAGAAATGTCCTTTTTAAATCTAAATTTTTTTTTCGCATCATTTCCACTGTATTTATTATTCGTATTTTGGCAATTGTTAATTAAAACAAAGAAAACAATATAAAATTTCTTACAAAATATCTACGTCCTTCGCATAAAATATGTTGATATATATATATAAATATATGATATATATATAATGATATATATATGATATATAATGATATATATACATATATACTCAATGATTATATACCATTATGATATATATCATTATATATATCATATATATAGTGATATATATATGATATATAATGATATATATACATATATACTCAATAATATTATATATAATATAAAATTTGTACATATAGATATATATACACTAATATTAATATATATTAATATTGTATTGTTATTTCCGGTTTAAAAAAGAATAAAAAGTACGTAAAGGAAACAAAAAAAAAAAAAACAGTAATGAAAAGAGTAAAAAAATGGGGAAAAAAGTAGAAAATTTTTTTTTTTTAACATTTTTATAAATTTTTTTTGAGAAAAAATTTTTTTATTTTTTTGGCAAAGAAATAAGAAAATATAGCAAAAAAGAAGTAGAGAATATTATGACCAAAAAGTAGATTGAATACAAAATATAAATGATCTGTTAACCATGAATCCTTGTAATTATATTCATAAATTTCTTATTTTTGCTTTTGAGTCCAATAAAATAAATCACATGTTTATTTTCACAAGGAAAACAAAGAAAAATTAAAAACATAAAAAAAAAATTAGAAACCACTGAAATCCTAATACACACGCACACATTATTTTATGCATGTATACATTCTTCAATCCACATACATACAATATGCTTATAAAGTATTTGAAGAAAAAACAATAGAACAAAAATTTAAAAAGGATAATAATTGAAACAACAAAAATAATAATTTATAAAACGGCTAAAAATAATGAAAAGCAAAAAAATACCAAAAAATAAAAATAAAATTTATTTAAGTTAATTTTATTCTCCTGTGTGTACCTACCACCACTTGAATGTTTTATTAAAAAAAAAAAAAAAACAAGAAAAAATAAATAAAATAAAACACTAAGAAAAAATAATAAAAAAGAAAAAGAAGCAGAAAAACAAAAAACAGAAAACGTCATTGAAGTCCTTGAAAATATTTATATATATACATTTGTACATATATATATATATATATATGAGAGAGTTTTGTACACTTTATACGACACTCAGCTCTTCTCCCATCTCATCTTTTTCTCTGTTGTTTTTCTCTTTTGTTTTTTTGTTTTGAATATTATTTTGTTATACACGGTGCGATATGAGTGTGTGTAATATTTTTTTTTTTTATATTTTATAATTTTAAAACGCAAAGATTTAAGAAAACTGAAGGCAATTTCATATGAGAAGAGTGTATAAAGAGAGGAAAGAAAAAAAATAAAACAAATTTTCTATATTTATAAAAATTGTTTTTCGTCATTAAAATTTGTAACATATATTTATATACATATATATATATATATATATATATATACATATATGAGAAAAGCAAATAAGAATAGCAAGAACAACAACAACAACAAAAATATAATAAGAATAATGAAAGAAGAGTGGCAATATATTGTGTACGTAAAATAGCCGATATATTGTATACAAAATATTTTATTGTAAGTATACAAACATATATATATATATTATATATTGTGTGTATATATATATCAATTATTATTATAATATTTAAATATTGAATTGAAGAAGAAAAATTATAAATTTTTATTATGTTAAAAAATTTAATTTTTTTTTTTAAATAATTTTTTTTTCTTTACTCTTTATTCTTTTCTTTCCATATTTACTCATTTTTTGTTCTACTTTTTTTCTCTCATTTTTTTCTGGTTTTTTTAATTTTTTGATTTTTTCTTCTTTTTTGCTTCAGTAAGTAAGGTCAGTATTGTAAATTTTCATAAAATGTGATGGCTAACCAACGATTTTCAAAAAAAAAAAATGTAATATGCTTTTAATTTTAATAAATCTATTTTTATTATACATATATATAAAAGAGAAAGAAACGCAAAAAACAAAAAATAAAATAAATTAAAGTGAAAATGATTTTCATTTTTCCGCAGAGAATCCCTGCTATATATACATATACATGTATTTAAATGTATTGATTTTTAAGACTATAACATTAAGAGTCAGTACTATATTATTGCAATTTAGATTCTTCAAGTTAAATGAGTCACAAAATATGTCACTTAATTTATGGTTGCTGTTAAAAATTGACAAGAAAAAAAAAAACCAATATTCCAAAATTTTCTATTTGTATATACGAGTAATAAAAAATTACTTGTTGTCAATGGAAAATTGAAAATTCAGGAATACATTATGAATTCATTATTATATACAGGGTGTCTGGTATCAAAGTGAACCATATATAACATTGTATGGGCTATCATGAGTAGACAAAATTTTTTTATGGAGACAGTGTTCACAGCTCAACACGTTCGGAGTTATAGAGGCTTAAAATTTCGATCTTGAAATTTTAAGTATAACTCTGTGCCTGTATAAGACAGGCATATTATTAAATATGATTTGAAAACCTCAGAACATAGGCTTTCTTATGAATATCTACATTATCTATAATCTGTTTAGATTTCGGAATCACATGACTTTAAAATTCGAAAAATTTGAAATTTTAATTTTTTAAAAAACGTTAATTTTTTAGGTGACGTATCATTGGAGCTTTCTCCAATTTTATCAAAAGTGATAATCTTGATAATTGAGCTTCAATTTGGTATATGAGTCGTCACGCTACATGATCTGGTTTGGGAGTTGTGGAGAAAAATAGAGTATGCCATTTACTTATTTTGTAATTGATTCAAGACCAGCTTAAGAAAAAAATTTTTATTTTTCCAATTTTTCATTGTCGCCTACTCTACACGAAAATGTTTCTGCTTTCTTATTATTACTATTATTTTTATAGCAAGTTAGGACGCTACTGTTTAACCTACATTTTATTAATAACCAGATGGAAACTTTAAATAAAAAACGTCAATTCTTCTAGAGTATACCAAGCAAAATAATATTTAATTCATTTATGAAATAAAAAAGGCGGGCGGCCTGAATTTTTTTCCTTTTCATTCTATACTAATTTCTATATTTTTTTTTTTTAATTAAATATAAAAAAAAAATAAAGTTATTTTTTTATTTAATTTTTGCCTTTTATTTTTATTTACATATTTAATTTTTTTCTTTTCATTTAAAACAAGTTTTACTAACTGATTTTTTAATGAGGGTGTGATGAAAAAACAACATAATCAAAAAAAAACAAAAACGAATAATTAAATGCAATCAAAATTTTATATAAATTTAACTATAAATATATAACAGGCTTTTCTATGTACGTATATAAATAATTATATACATTAATATTTTTGTATGCGTACGGTAGACTTGTACCCATCGTATATTATAAGTCCTTAGAACATTATTATAATTAATATTGTGTTAAAATGCATACTTCTATAGTTCTATTTAATAAATTCTATAATATAATATTACATAGAAAATTTATTTTAAAAATATAATTTTATATAAAAATATAACAATCTATTTATTTTAATTTTACATACATACATATATAATGGAAAGGACACCATTTAATTATTGTAAAGTTATTTTTATAAATAAATATTTATTAAAGTCCTCAATTGTGATGATGGTATGTTATAAAAATAAATTTATTTTTCCATTTTTATTATTATATAGATATATATATATATATATATTTT